CTTTTGAAAAACTAGAATGAGATGAATCTAATTTAATTTTGTTTATTGCATTTTCAAATATATATTGCTATTAGTATTTGATGTGAGATGGAACATAATTAGATTTCTCTATTAAACAGCTACTCTTGTTTATTTCTACAAGATAATATTGATGGTTGTTTGGAATTTATTATTGGCCTGGCTATTGTTATTCTTATCTTTTGTCCAAAAAATAATGATATTGAAAATTTACATTTGATAATTAAGGAATTAGGCAGGATATGTAATATGTATCAATTACAATAAAAAATGCCATTGAAAATGATATACTATATTAAAAAAATGCTATAAATATTAAAAAAAATTATGATGGAAAAATAATGTTATTGAAGATGTAACCATGATGAATACAAAATGTTATTAAATCCAAAATTATAACGGAAAACAATGCTATCAAATTAAAAATGATTGCACGAAAAGAATGCTATAGATACTAAAACCTTGACGATAATAGAATGCTATGTAAAAGTTTTTTATAGCACTTATAAAATGTTATAATAGAGTTACAACTTTTAATAACACCACCTACGATAGTATTTTGAAAAATGCTATAAAATATGATAGATAGCATTTTTCGCAAGCTATAGATGACTTGATATGTTGTAGTGTTGAGTTGATGTGTGACTTAGGGAGGTCTCAGAAATTTTGATTGATTTTTTATTATTGATTCTATGATTGGAATTTTAATATTTATATTAATTTTCTAGATGTTCTTTCTAAGTTATTAATTACACATAGTATTGCATGCTTTGGTGTAACACATGTTTTTACTTATGTTGTTTTATATAATTTAGTTATATTTATTTAATTGTCAGTTTCCAAATGGTATTGTTGTCTTCATGTGTTTTAGGAAACAAGTGACAAGTTGAAGATTATGAATTAAGTCTTTGATAATTAGGCTGTTTTGGATTTGACTTTGAAATAAATGATTTTTTCACGAAATGCCAAAGGGAGATATTGTTAAGTCTAAATTATAATTATCAATTTTAAAATTTGTAATTGACAATTTCTTTACTCAAAATCAACTCCAAGTTGAATTGTATTAGGAGTTTATGAAAATGTAATCAAAGTCAAAGTAGAATATAACGAGTCCAAGTTATAAATATAGTTTCGGACTGCTGGAGTTCAAAAAAATGTCAAATAACTTCAAGAAGATTAAGATTTGGACTTCAAGAGGTTGATACAAAAAAAGGACTCACTGGTGTTCATTGTCCATGCATGAGTATTTCGCTCGAGCGCGGTTTTCCATTCAGTTTTTCCTATTCCCGTAAATCACTTATTTTTTATTCCATTTTCATTCCAAACATCTCCACTATAAATATACAGCCATAT